GGGAAGCCATGGAGCCGCGGGCGCTCGTCACGGCGCTCAGCCTCGGCCTCAGCCTCTGCTCCCTGGGGCTGCTCGTCACGGCCATCTTCACCGACCACTGGTACGAGACCGACCCCCGGCGCCACAAGGAGAGCTGCGAGCGCAGCCGCGCGGGCGCCGACCCCCCGGACCAGAAGAACCGCCTGATGCCGCTGTCGCACCTGCCGCTGCGGGACTCACCCCCGCTGGGGCGCCGGCTGCTCCCGGGCGGCCCGGGGCGCGCGGACCCCGAGTCCTGGCGCTCGCTGCTCGGGCTCGGCGGGCTGGACGCCGAGTGCGGCCGGCCGCTCTTCGCCACCTACTCGGGCCTCTGGAGGAAGTGCTACTTCCTCGGCGTCGACCGGGACATCGACACCCTCATCCTGAAAGGTGAGCGGCGGGCGCGCCCCGCGCTCCTCAGGGACGCGCCGGCCGGCGGCCCCCTCCCCGCCGCGGCCCCGCGCCCCGCCGCCCCGCGCATTCTTTCAGCCGTCCCCGCAGCCTCCTTTCTCTCTCCCCCCTCGCCCGCCGTTCCTCCCCGCTTCTCGCTCGCTCTTCTATCTCTCCCCACTCTTCTTCCGTCCTCATCCTGCGCTTCCTTCCCCTGCCCGGGTCTGCGCTTTGCCCCCGCCGCCTCCTTCATCCCTGCCTTTGCTCCGCGTCCCCCTCTTCTTTTCCTCTGTTCTGTCCTCGGGCTTTGTGCACCTGCCAGACTTGGACGCATGTGTGTGTTTTCCTCACGCTACTCCCCACCAGGGTAACGGCCGAAAGACTCGACTTTGCCCAGTCGGCTCCTTCACTCAAGTTGGGCTTTCTTTTTGGAAATACCTTTTAGAAGAAAAGGGGTGCACACCTCGGAATGGGGGGAAGGGTTTTCTCTTGTGTTGTGCTGACGTTGGTGTCAGAGGGACTGATGGGGTCATCCCAGCCTGGTGGGCTAATGGGGACCTGCAGAGGCCGGAGGAATCTCCCCCAAACACACAAGTGCGGGGTTTGTGTGCCCCAGACTTCAGGTGTCAGCCTCCCCTGCCGGCGGCAGCGGAAGGCAGGCAGGCAGGACAGCTGCTTTTCTGGGTCCTCTCATGTCCTCTCAGTGTCCAGGCTCACCAGGGGGAGCCGAGGGGAAAAGATGCCCTAGCCCTTTAAAGTGGAGCTTTCCAGATTGGGCAAGGAGTCTCTGCAGACCACTCTCCTTACGTGTGGCATACCTGTGAGGTTGTTTTGTTGTTGTGTATTTGGCACTGAGTTGTGGAGCATTAGTTTGCTTTTCTGGACCTGTGCAACGCCTGGCTTCCGTGCATGTAATCAGGTAGTGTGATTGTTTTTCGTAATCCTATTCAGGTAAAAATAGTCAATGTGACAGTTCTATTTGGGAAGCTTCCTTTAACTTGCAGAACTTGACCCTTAATGTAATTTTTCCCCCTCCGATCTAAGATGAAAAAAAAAAACCCAAAAAACTCTTCTCTTAGACTCTTTATTAAAAAAAAAAATCCCAAGTCAGTACATTTTAGTATTTAGTAGCTATGAGGGAAACAAACCCACATATTTGTGTTGAATTACAACTTGGAACGGAATGACATAGAAAGGAGGGGTTAATAATGTGTTGGCCTTGAGAGTCCTGTGGGTTGGCATATTGTTCCTTTCTCAAACGTGTCCACTTCCTCTCCCCATGGCTAGCTCAGCTGGGGACTGCCATCCAAAATCCGTGCATGGAAGGGCTCCAGCATTTTTGGGGGAATCACAGTAATCTTCCTTTGGGAAGTGCCCCTTTTTCTTTCCTAACTCGCATCCACATCTAATTTCTCTTCATGAAGATGCTGCATAATTAATTCTGATAGTAGCACAGTACATGAACAAATTGTAAAAGCTGAATTTGGAGGCTCAGTTATGGAATGCTCATTTAGGCAAGGCAATTTTGAAAGCTAAGCAGTGTAGTCTGTCTTTGGAAATGACAGAATTGCATTTCCTTACACTCTTTCTATGCCCGGAGTATTTGATTGCATGTAAATTGGATATAGAGTAATGCCTGAAACAGCAGAGCAGAGAGTCCAACAGTAAGAGAGGCACCCTCACAGAACACTGCATGACACCTCTGGAAATGCCCTGGTTAGCAGCATTGCCCAGTTCCTGGGCAGTCCAGGATCAAATAATCACAGAGGTGGAAAGACTTTAGAGGTCACTGAAGCCAAACCTCCATTCATTGTTCAAACTTCCTTCTACATGCTGACAAATGGTTGTCCAGCCCAGTGCTACTGTAGGGCAGAACTCACATACCAGTTAAAAGAACTAGATTTTTCTAGTGATGAGTGTGTATTTCAGATCAAAACAATCTCTGACTTATAATATTGATGGTGTTTAGCTAATCCTTTCTATAGAACACCAAAGAGTTCGAGGTTGTAAGCAGAAGATATGGGCTCCCTTGTTAGCTCTGTTGCTACATTGTGGTGCGTTCTCAAACAAGTATCCTGGGTTCCTTGGCCCTCTGTTGCTACATTGTGGTGCGTTCTCAAACAAGTATCCT